GAGCTTGATGTACGCCATGGTTTGCCCATGCCCAGATTTAGCATATGCAATTAGCATGGTGAGAAGGTACATGACAAATCCTGAGAAGCAGCATTGGATGGTTGTTAAGTGAATTTTGAGATATCTATGTGGTATTGCAGATACATTTTTGACATTTGGGAACTCTCATTCAAAATTTGTTGGATTTTGTGATTCTGACTATATAGGAGATCTATATAAGAGAAGGTCTACAACTGGTCTTTTGTTCACTTTCAGAGGCTGTGCTATTAGTTGAAAAATCTTCTTGACAATATACTATTGTTCTGTCTACTACTAAGGCAGATTATATGGTCATTACATATGTTATAAAGGAGGCTATTTGTCTGAAAGGCCTATTTGGAGAGCTCAGTGGGATGTTTGACAGGATTATTTTTTTATGTGATAATTGTTATCTTCTTGACAAAGGATCAGATGATTCATGCACAGACAAAGCACATCGATGTCAGGTTTCATTTTATTTGTGATGTGATTGCCCAGGGCGATGTTGTGAGCAAGGTCAACATATTAGATAATTTTGCAAATATGTTGACCAAGTCTCTTCCAGTTGCCAACTTCAAGCATTGCTTGGATTTGGTCAGTGTTGGCTATTGATTGTGGCATCTTGTGGGGACCAAAACTTACTGCTTGGCTTCGTTATAGAGAATTCTTAGCAAGGTGGAGATTTGTTGGAGTTGCCTTGAATTTGGCTTGACCTTTGTTTGTTCATGTCTTTGATCATTGTACGCTTCATAGATATGTTGGTGTTTGACCTGTTGTACACTTCACATATATTTTTGAAATTCCACAGGTTTTTTGGTGCTCTTTTTTTGCCTTATAAATATGTTGTAAAGGGCTTAGGGTTTGCATGTCGTTTTGCACTCCATCTCTTATCTATAGTGAAGCTGTTCTCCCTTCTCCCCCGTGGTATTTCCCATATTTGAATTTTCCACATAAATCTCTTGCGTTCATTTGTATTTTACATATCGTGATTTATTATTTCTCTTTGTGTTTGGTTTCATCTTTCCCTAACTCGTACAACCAAATAAGAGGTGATTTTATATTAAGCTCCTTATTTCAAAAAATTCAATTCAAAGAAAGGCACATTAATGTTAGTGCATGCAAAGTATCTATTGTTCTCAAACAATATGCTATTATAGGTCATACAAAAGAAGAAAATTTTAGGGCATAATGTTTGTGCTGAATAAAGTTCTTCTAAGAAACATTAGGTAAAGAATTATCAAAATCCTTGATAAAGACTTTTAAGTAGGATCCCAGCCACTATCATCATTTAGCTATTTTAAGAGACAATTTGAGGCAAGAATAATGATAAAGAGTACATATTTGCCAAATAATTCCACACAAGATTTAACATCCATCCATATCCTAGGTCTCAAAATAATAGGAGGTTATAACCATTATCAATGGTATAAGATAAGTGTGATCTAATATAAGTAGCAAAGCTACAGTTTTGGGGGAAAATAGAGGAACGAGATTTGACGCCCCAAGATCTAATTTGGAAAGAATCTCAATCAATTCATGAAAATCATTTACCAGAGCTATCTATAACTTCAATCAAACAGTCTAGCCAAAATCTATAAGATTTAAAACAGCAATGTACAAGTCGATTCATATCTCAAAAGATCATATACAACACTCAGGAACTACACTATGAACTGAAATCTATCTTGTCCTGAGTACAAAAGAATCACTATAACCAAAAGAACAAAAACCTGGAGATTCCTGATCAACCTCAATCTACTGCTCCCTTGCCCTGACCTGAAAATATCAACCACATATAATGAGTTTTACAAAGCCCAGCAGGTCACCTAATACCTATTACTGAAATCAAAGCACGGTACTGCTATCAATATGCATGTCAGCCAATCAAATCCATAACAGTCAATGGTCAATGAGTCTATGCAATACGGAAATCAATAGTCAATGAAATTAATAGTCGATGCAGCGATAGAAGAATCAATAAATCAAACTCACTAAGAATTCGTACACAGAAGAAAATCAATCAATCAGTCAAATCAATCGTATCAAATCGATCGAATCAATACTATCTAGTTAATGAAATCGATTAGAAAAGCAATACAATAAAGTTCGATCTATACTAGTAATGAATCAAATGCAGCAGGTTAATATGGTGCAGAAGCAATAGTATCAATGAATCTATAAGCAATAATATCAATGAATCTATAATATCCATGTCCATAGCATCAATGAATCAATACAATATCTATATCCATCCATATCAATATCTATGCTCAGTAGTATCAATGCTCAGCAATCAATCAATGAAATCGTACGATACAATAAATTCATAAATCTGATCAAATCAATAAAGCAGTAAATCCATATGTCAATACTATACACATGCACTTCAATACAATGGTCTTACTGAACAAGTACAAACACTGGCTATCAATAGTGCTGTTGTAGAAATCCATAGTGCTGTTGTAGA